CTATACTATCAGCACTTATTTCCAAGAAATTTCAATCATATTTCTTGTGCAGACAAAACTGCATGCTGTACTTATGAATTATAGGCATGAATGCTTTGCTACCAGAATCACCCAGATTTATGACAGATGTACATATGTAAAGCACTCAAGGAGCCCTGTTTGGTTACTTACCACCTCTCCACTCCCCCCATCAACATCAGTTCCATCCCCAAACATTTCCCAAGCGGATCTTTTCCCCGGGTGCAAAGTCTTTAGAAAAGACAGCAAAACCATTTACAGAAAACAGTTCCAGACACCGTGCTGCTGAGTGTAAGGGAATCTGGTACTACTTCCATTTTGCGTCAACAAATAAACCCGTTTTACTTTACAATTAAATTAAACAGCCTCGAAGGGAGGGTGCACGAATATTACTGTGCTATTCGATCTGCTCAAAGGCAAAACTTTTCCTGTGAATCATCATTTCTTGGTATCTTGCAGCCAATGAACCAATCCCTTCCCTCCTTCCAGTGCCATTTTTCCACTGAAGTTAAACTCATTACAATTTCCTCCAACCGTTCTCTTTTGTGGTTTATCTTCTCTCTCGGGTTTCTCCCAGTTTCTCCTGCCAGCTGCTGCACAAGCACTCTCTCATACCTCTATAGCTGGACGTGGCTCCTCACCCCAGCCCCTACCACTCGCAGGGCCACAGCCAGTCCCCAGCAGCCAGTCCCCAGCAGCAGGTCTGATGACACATTCTTCTTTCCTCTGCCTCCCTTCATCTAAACACCACTACCACTTCACATGACTTAAAGCAGCAGGAAGAAATCCAGCTGGTTTTCTCATAGACAAAGGCATACCTAAGTGCACAGCCCCTGCCTCCCGTGCAAAGCAACTTGCCTAACCCCTTCCAAAAGGCACAAAGCAGATTTGGTACACAAAGACTAAACCAGATGTTTTTAGTCAGCTGAAGTGAAGAAATCAGCAGAGTGCCATAAATGTATCAGAGTTATTTACACGCTGATATACCTATACAAATACATCTACATAATACATTATTTGCAAAATACTTGTAAGAATCAGCCAACTCAAATCATAAGTGAGAAGAGAGAAGAGTCACCCACCAGCAGGTTAGAAGAAAAGGATGTGTATAATACGTCAGTTGTTAGAAAGAACATTCCTGTTTCTAGAGGCTGCTGGGTCAGAACCAGTCTGCATGGACAAGCACCAAAGATCACCTAAACTGAGGGAAAAAAATCCTTCAGCTTTAACATACCTAAGTTTCTTATGAGACAGAATAAACCCAGAACTCTTATTGCTACTTCTCCATGTTATAATTAAAATCTTAAACACATACATCTTCCAGCAAGCTGGAGTCTTCTAAACAGACAAAATTTTCTAAATAAAGCAGCTTTTTTCCCTGCTTTGGCCAGAACTTCTCCTCATTTATTGATACCTCTCTCTTCAACCTGACTCCCTTTATAATGTGAGATTCTCTTCCACTGAAGTCACACCATGAGAGCTTCGAGGCAATGTTACCTCACGGAAAGAAGACTGGGGGGTGGCAGTGGGAAAAGGTCATTAAAATTATGAAGTATGCAGGATTCTTCCTTTTAAAATGGCAGTGTAACTCATGAGATTTTAACAGCAGAATTTTAGGATGTAAACAGTCCTTTTAAAGTTAAAAAGACAGCTAAATAAAGCCACAAGCTGAATTCCATCAAGTCTAAGACCAACCCAGGACAAGCCCATAACCCAAAGTTAGTCTTCTCAAAGTAAGAATTTCTAAAATGAAAAGGGCTCTTGAAACAAAATCTGAAGCTGGAACATTACACCCTTGCCTTAACTACCAGCCTAGCACGAGTCTCAAGGCCTGGAAAATGGCTCCAGGTGCCTCCCCAGCTCCTCCACAATCCCACCCAATGGACACTGCCTTCCACATGGACTCTCACTGCCCACAATAAATATCACAGTAGCACGGGTTCTGCTGGAATAGCTTCTAGACTAAAACCTCACCAGCAAAACAAGAAGCCACCACCTAACACCACCACGCTGCACAAAACAACCTAACCCTTTCTTCTTTCAAGGTGAGGGTAATTAAAAAGAGGACCTAATGCTGCAGCTGGGTTTTTCTTTCCTATCTTCTTATCTGTTTTGGTATTTTCATACCATTAACACCTCCTTTGTTCTTGCATATGCCCATTGCAAAAGTTTTACAGGCTCTTGGCTTCTCAGTAACTCGCTCTTAGACAAGTCAGACTTGTTACATCCTGGGTGAACATGCCTTTCTCAGCCCACTTTAAAACCCCTGTTGCAACTTCTTCTGGTGGTGCATGTCTTCACCAACACTGTAACAGCATTTCCGTGAGGGCAATGCTCCACAGTGTGGTCTGTTCTTGTGCAGGGTCCATAAGGTGCTCAAAGGCACTTCTCCTGGTGCTGCCTTGCCAGATTACCTCATTTGCCTAATCCTTCTATGAGACTAATAGATAACTTCTGATTGCATCTGTACCAGTTTGACATGCTTCTGGGTTCAAAAGAGTTCATTTTGGGAAAGGCAGTATCAGCTGGAATGCTGTCACAGGTACAGCATCACAATTTATCTTGTAAAAGCCTTGAGACAGCTCCCACACAACAACAGCCATGAAGCCAATGGTTACAGCTCTCTCCTGTCAGACCACACTGTAAAAGAGACCAGCTGTTTGTCTGCCCTTGTCCCACCAAAAATAAGCTGCTCATTACCATTATCCTACATAAACTCATTCAAATACTCGTTCAAATCGAGAGGAAGTCTCTTTTCCCTCACCACCTCCTCCAACAGCCCATTCTAGAGAAGACCAATGAAAAAAATAGAGAACGCAACCTTTGACATATAAGAAGTAGCATCATTATATTTTCATCACTTGAGGCAGAACTGGAGCTGGGGAAGAAGGCAGAGAGAAATCAGCTTAACTTGCAACAAATGAGGAAGGCATGTCCCTCTGTCAGGAGCCAAACGCCACAGTTCATTTATGCAAAAGAAACATGGAGAAATCTTCCTTAACCACTTCTTAGAAAACGTTCAGTAAAGTGCCTTCTGAGAATGACTAGGATTACTGAATGTTTCTGCAACAGCAAAGCTCAGACAAGGCCCCTCCCTTTACAGAGGTCTCCAGATGTTGTTACCTCTGTGTCTACCAAGAGCTGTTCCTGTACCTGTAATTTGGCTCTGAGAAAAACCATACCACTCTGAGTTGTTTTGGAAAGAAAAGGCTTTTCTGTACCTTGAGTAAGTGGGTGGCCCTGCCCATAGTATGGTCCACACTGCATGAGAATCCATTACAAACAGGAAGACTGTTGCCTCTAATAATTTAAATCTGAACAAAGGACTGGAGATGCAAGGCTTTGACAACTGTGGACTGTTTCCTTTCCTGTTCTTCTCCTAATGTAGAGGTCCAAGGGAATGAGTTAGCAGACATGGTAGTGATGGGCTGACAGTTAGACTTGGTCTTTTCCAACCTTAATGATTCTGTTCTATGTATATGCTTGTACTAGAGGGAGAAATATTCAGTTCACCTATGAACCATGCCTGGACCACAAGTTTGCACCCTGGATTGGAAAAAAAAAGCAATTATATTACCTGTGAATTGTGGCTTTGTTGTTTTTAAACTGACACAATCTTTGCAGCACTCAGCAACAGCACGGGAAATGGAGACTCAAGTATATTTGGCTATGGCTTCACTCACCTTACTAAAAAGAAAACATACACTGAAGCAATACAGCACATAACAGCATGCAGATTTTTATCTCTCATTACACAACAGCACAGCAAAAGAAACAATTCCCTTAAAATCCATGTGACCAGCTCCAACTTTCACTTCCCAGCCACAGAGGTGCGTGCAGGTGCTAAAGGAGAGCTGTAAGCTCAGGGAATTGCTCATTCCTCCAGCCCTGAGCAACGAGATGCCACTACCAACACAACACACTGCCTCCTCCTACTGCTGGGGAAGGCCGTGTGGGACGAGCCGTTACCAAGAGATGAACCATCTCAGTGCTGGCCAAGCTGGGTCCAAGGACCGTGAACTCACTGCACTTAGCCCTCCCTGCTCCACATCAGCCTGCCATAAAGCCATCCTACGGGAAGGCAGAGCAGCTCAGGCTTATCCTCCAGCACATTACAGGGCTTGGCTCCGCGAGGCACAAACATGACGTCTGCGATACAGCCTCGCGCTTTGACCACACCACGGTGCAAGAGTCCTTTAGGACTCCTACAGGCACACCGAGGTGCCGGACAGGAAGGAGCCCCACACAGCGCTGAGAAAGCGACCACACCCGCGTGCCACACGCTGGAAACCGCCAGGAAGCACCTGGGCCCCGAGGACGGCCGCAGCACGGAGAGAAGCGGCCATGACTCATGCTTTTGTCCGCCCCACCGGAGCGCGGCGGGGGTGGCCGCTAACAGGGAGGGGGCGGCCCCTCGGTGCAGCCCCGTCTCGATGGTTCGCGGGGGGCGGCCGACGGCACGTGGCGCACCCCCGCCAATGGGAGCGGCCGAGACCATAGAGCGGAGCGGGGCGCTGGCTAGACGTTCCCCCCTCGGCGCCCGTCTCTCTGCTGCCGCCATCTTGTCGGAGGCGCAGAGGCCGCCCGGCCGCAGAGCCGGGCCCCGCCGTCTCCCCCCGCTCAGCCGCAGCACCTCCACATCCCCACTTCCCTCCCGCTCGGCAGATACCACCGGGCGCCGGCGATGGCTTTACCTCTAGTAGGCCCGCAGCGAAGCCTATGCTGGGTACGAGGCCGAAAGGCCGGCCGCCATCTTGGTGAAGAAGAGGGACTCGCGTGACCTACCCGCACAACGCCGGTCCCTCCCCCACGTACCCTTGCCCGCCGGGTTGCTAAGGGAACCGAGCGGGCGCATGCGCGCTGGCCCTAAGCGCGGCACCTCCCCGTGGGTTGGGCCTGTGAGTGAGGGCGTGGGGGGTGCCGGCGGAGGGCGTGGCCTGAGCGGGAGAGGGCGTGGCCTGAGCGAGGGCGGGCTTTACCGCCCCTCCCCCCTCCTTCCTCCGGGTGCGTGAGCGCGGGAGCGGCGGCTGGGCCACTGGCGGGGTCTGCAGGTGAGGCGCTGAGGGGCGCCGGGAGGCGGGAGCTCCTCCCTGCAGCAGGGGGCGGCCTGCAGCTTCCCCTCAGCCGGAGACGGGGACGAGGGCGGCCGTTTGGGTTTCTGGCTGATGCTGGGGGATGAGGGCTGAGAGCTCCGGGCGGCCCTGGCGCCGGGGTTGTGGGGCTGGCGGTATCCCGCTCGCATCCGCCTCGTTCGAAGCCCTTTAGCGCGCACGGTCGTCTATAAGCGCCAAGTCCCCGTCGTGGGATGGAGGAGGGGGGTCGGGGATGCGGTTTCCTGTGTGGAAATGGGAAGGGCTGAGGCGATAAGGGGCAGAGATCGCGGCCGCTCCGCGGGGCGCCGGGCTGGGCTGCACGGCCGGAGGGCGCGGGACGCACCGGGCTGCCCTGCTGCCGGCTGTCTGTGTGTCTGTGTGGGAGCTGCCCTGGGGGAGCGAGCCTGGGAGGTCTGTGCTCAAAGCACGGGGTAGCCGCGCTTTATTCTGCACGAACAGCTCTGCTGTGGGAAAGTTCCCTGTGGGAGGCGGGAAGGCTTGCCGCCGGGAGGATGCTCCGGCACGAGCCGGTTCTGGTTGGCGTTGAGGATTCCTGATGGTAAGCGGGGCTGGGTGACATCAGCCGGCAGGAAGCGCTCTGGGAGGGAGCGTTCTTATTTCTTATCGGATGGGAAGAGCCTCCCGAGGAGCATCTCCAGCAGCGGAACGTTTCACTGCTCACGCACTGCTTACTGATGGAAAACGCTGCGGATTTATTTGAGCATGAATTTTCACTGCAGCAGCGAGTTGCATGGTTTTTATTCAGGGCAACAGATCTGTGTGAGTTCAGCTCCGTGGGAAACAACAGCAAATGGCTTCGATGCGTGGCGCTTTCAGTTGGCTCTCCCATCGGAAAAGCATCTTGCAGCCCGAGCAAACTGCCCAGGGTCAGATGGGCGGGAGCCCAGCCTTTCTGCACCCAGCAGAACGCAGTTAACAGACTGATGATGATTTCTGACAGCTGTGGTATTTGCTTCACAAAGCCGCTGTGTACATAGAACTCAACAGCAACAGCCTTTGGGCTTATTAAGATGCAACTCTTTACAACTTTTTAGCTCTCAGTCATCACTTTTAAGCATCCAGTTAGCTCTTTTTTGTGTGTGTGTGTGGTACAGGAAGGAAAAGGAGCTCACTTTGAGCAGTTTTGAGGAATACTTCAATAGGAGAAAGATAGCAACTTTGTGACTATGATCAGCAATGATTCCCTGCTCTGGAAGGGTGGGAAGAGCAAGCGTGACTGGAATATGGAGAGAGCCAGGTGGCAGTAATTTCATACTGACAAAATGAAAGTCAGCTAGAGAGGGACGGCTCTGATCTGTGGCTGTTGTGAGTGGGAACAGATACCTCCTAGGCCAGAGAAGGAACTGGAAAGGGGACTCAAAGCGTGCATCAACTCATGCTGACTTTCTTACACTGTCAAAGTAAGTTATGTGGTTTCTTGAAATCGTGCAAATAAGCCTGATAGAAGTCCTGTTGTGTTGGCAGGTCTTTGTCTGTTTAGAGACTTTCTTACAGAGGTGTCAGATTTTTCTTTTCTCACCACCAAATGAAACAGCTGTGTGTGACGATCTTGGCAGCAACAGTTAAAATGGATGGTTGAGCTTTTGAGTATCCTGACCAAAGAGGAGGAGAAAATGTTTCCTTTTGAAGCCTCAACTCTTTGCAAAGCGCTCAAACATGAAAGGAAGTGCTGAGGGGGAGGAGGTTTAAAAAGAAAAGACTGCATGGGTTGGTTTATTGAGCTTTGAAAAAAACCATTTCCTCTGAATAGATGCCTTTTAGCAGCGTGTTTGGGTTTGGTTAGTTTCTGGAACGGATGTGAACTTCTCTTTTACAGGCTGCAATATGGTTTGTCATATATTTGGTGCCTTCAGAGTTCCGTGTTCGTGTTGCTCGAGTTCATTGCACGCTGATATTAATAGGAATAAAATGCTGACTGGTTGCTGGGAATTCTGCTCCTGGGAATGCTGGAGATCCAGCTACTGGCCCTCTATGAAAAGCAACTTGTACTGTTTCAAAATGTGCATGTTCATTCAGAGGCACTCCTTTTCTAAGTTAGCATTGAAGGTGGATAGTGACTTGTTGGGGTTTTTTATTTTTGTTGTTTTTCTCGTGCAATTTTTAATAATCTGGGAAACGTTTTTTGTGTTTTCAGATTTGCTCCTGAGCTTCCATAAAAATGTCCAAGGTAAGAATAACATTTCTGCCCTAAAATGGAATGTTTTAAAATGAACGTTTTGTTTTATAAGTTTTATCCTCACACGGAATGTTTGTCTGTTACCTCATATTTGGTGAGGCTATGTGTGCTAAACTTGCAGTTCACAAGTGTGAGAGAATTCACATTTAGAAGATGACAGTGAATGATTGAGTTATATAACACAGATATTAGAATAGCTTCATACATGTAGGATAAACCTCTGTAGTTAACTGATGCTCCCAGAAGGATGGAGTTGCACACAAGAAGCTCCATGTTATGTTTTCATTGAAATTCCCATTCAGCTGCTATGTTTTGAGCAGGAATAATTTAAGGAAAGGATGTTCTTGTGTTTAATTTATTGTTCACATCTTCATTTGTTTAGTCAGTCAACTGGTCTACTCAGCAAAAGCCTTCATAAAAATGTGGCAACTTGAATCCCAGCGTGCCAATATTTTTCATTATTTGTCTCTTCCATTTGGTGTAATGGGTAAAAACGTTAGGTTATCAGAGTGAAATGAATAAAAGCTACTTGTGTAGTGTATTTGAAGAGGGAAAATAATAGGTCTGAACATTTACCTGCAGCATTTGTAGTAGAGAGCATTTGAAGCACTTCTGTGTTGTTGTTTTTTCCTCTTAAAAGAGGTCTCTGATGAAGTTTCCAGCAGGTGACTGTTATTTTACAAGTACTGTTTTGGCTGGATGTGCTAAAAACCACATGAGTAATGGTCGCTTTCCTTGTTTAAGTGCATAAACCTCATGCACAAGTGTAGCAGAAATGCGAAGTCATGGCCTGAAGCAGTGATTGAGCACCTGGTGGGAAGCAGGGCCAACCCAGGGGAGCTCAGGTGCATGTAATGTATCTGAGTGATTGGAAGGGTGGAACAGGATCCACCCCTTCCCAGACCTCACTTAGGGGTTGGCAGTGGAGATAAGGGTCTCTTGCTGGAGATCCCTGTGTGCCTGAGGGTAAGCAGCTTCTTTCCTTTGTTTCTGTATTTACAGCTGCTACACTTAAGCATATTCTTACTTGCTGCAGCTTAGGACTTTGCTACTATGCTGCCATTGCTGCACTTTCCATTGTATTACAGAAAGCTTTTTTATTTTAAATGAGTGTGAGGTTAATGCTGAAGAAGTGCGTGGTTGTAAGTGTACTGCATGCTTCAGTAAGTAAATGCTTGAGGCTTTTCTTTTTTTAGGTGGTCTTGGAAAGAAGAAAAGTGAAGGGAACTTTCCTCAAATCCTAGGTTTTCTATATTTCATTATAAATCTGTGGAATAATAGGCAAACTTGCATAGGGGATCTCTCTGTGGGTTGTGCACCTTCAACTTGTGATTTCAGGTCTTAAATGATGGGGCATTCTAATGGGAGTAACTTTATTTTTTTGCATCCAGAGAAGGACAGGAGGCAGAGCTTTGGAAAGCCAAATGATTTATGAAACTTCTGATTTTCTATGCTTTCTTCTGGTTCTAGTTTATCCTATTTGAAATGTCTATGGAGGACAATTGCCTAGACAAGTGTGTCTTGTATGGTTGCTTATTATTGTCTTATTTAATTTCAGCAACAGCCTGCTCAGTTTACCAATCCAGAAACCCCCGGTTATGTTGGATTTGCAAACCTTCCCAATCAGGTCCATCGGAAGTCTGTGAAAAAGGGGTTTGAATTCACTCTTATGGTGGTTGGTAAGGAAACATTGTGTAGTATTCTTCACAGTGAGTTCTCAGTGATGTAGAATTTAGAATTAGTGAATGTTGCTTCTGCTATTGTAAGGCTTTAACTCGCATCAGAAAGCTTTGCACTGCAACATTTAACTTTTTTGTATTTTATTAATTCATGCATCTGTTTTTGGTATCACAAGCCATGTATGGTAATCATTTTGTGGTTGAAGTGAAAGAACTCTGTTTTGTGCTCCAATTATGGTTACTTCCTTCCTTCTGTCTCGCAGGGTTCCAGCCTTCCGTTCAAAATTTAACTTAAAATTGTTCTCATGTATGAATACAAGTCCTGTTGGCTTCTTTTCATTAAGAAAATAGTATTAAATTATTTGTTATGCTTCTGTAGTTCAAAAGAATCTGCATGGGTAGATCTTTCAAAGATGGGACAGGATGTGATAAGTGAGAGTTTGAGTTGCTGATTGTTTTGGTTCCCAGTAGTTACAGGTAGCGTTTATCCTTTAACCTGTCATTAGCTTTGCCAAATGGCAGCCCTTGTTTTGCTTTTGTCCCAGTTCTGTCTTCAGCAGCACAGTGCTGGTCTGCACTGGCCCTTAGTTTTGGCTTCTAAGAATTTGATGGTGGTTGGTTCCTGTTACCTGGGGCGAGGGGAGAAGGAAGAGAGCAGGGACATGGGGAAATGAGGTTATACTGCATGCTAAGTACCTTATATTTGTTAGGAGTCATTTAATTTTTGCTTCGTTGGATTTGCTTAGGATAATATCATAATGGACACCTTACAAAACCTAAGGGTAAAGCCAGCCTTTAGATGTTCCAAGTCATGGTATCTGCTGTGATTCTTTGGCATTCGCTATTTTTTGGTCCTATGTGTAAGAAATAAGGGGGGTGCTTAAAATCCACATCTCTCTGAGATGAATTGCAAATAGTGCTGCCTAAAATAGTCCTGGTAGAGAGCTGTACAAAATTATTCAGACCAAATGGTTATTTCTGCTGAAATAGAGAATAGTGGAGAAATGGCATTGTATCAGAGTAACACCAATTAGCCCCCTGTGCCTCATCTGACTGTGGTGTTATTGCTTGCCACTGTTCAAAGGGATAAATGAGAACTACAGCAAGAGAGCTTGCAAAAAAGTAACTTCACTGGAAACTTGGAGTGATGCTGTAAGATAAACCAGCAGAGGGAGGAGCTGATGAGAGTGAAGATAAACTGTGCTTTAAATTGTTGATTACTTCAGTAGTTTGGAATGTTAATTTTTTTCCTCTTGAAATATGCATGGGATTTAAGCATGTTCCTCATGGCCTATATCACAGTGTCTGTACTGAGCCATAACTCTTAACCTGCCATGTTTCTTACCATCTGATCAGGAATTTAAGCTATCAGTACTCAGAGTCAGAAAAAGCTGCTGCTTATCTTTGAGACACAAGAAAACTGATTTGTTTTAGATGTACTATTTACTCAGACTGAAAGCAGGCAGTGTTGCTGCTTAAAGTCAAAGCTGTCTTGGTTTTGCTGAACTGATGCCATGGGAGTGTTAAATCACTGTGTTTGCATGCCTCTTTCACTGGTAGAGGCTGTGTTGGTAAAATCTGATTTGGAGAGAGGTGTTCTATCCGAGAATAGCAGCTTCTGCTCAGATCTTTACTTAAAAAGAATTCCATATTTTTTATTTTGTTTAGAATCTTTGTCAGACTGCTGTTATCATTTTTACTTCATTTAAAACAATCTCAAAAAAATAACTTGTCCAGTGAATTGAAGTACTGAGCCATTTAAGTTGCTGGTCTTTTTTAATTAATGCTGTGAACATCTTTAGCTGATCAGTTGGCTTTTCAGCTCTTCCAATGGCTCTGTCAGTAGCTGTAGGAGAAAAGCCTTTTTGTGATACACTTTGAGTAATCCCTAAGGTCACCAGTGAAGAATTGCTTTGTGTGCATACTCAGCAGGCATATCACATTGCTCACAGTTTTTTCTCTATTACTTCTCAGTGTGTGTGAGCTTTTATATTCTGGAATGATAGCAGAAAAGCTTGCATTAAAACCAGAAGACATGAAGAGGGAAATGATGTCTAATCTTAGATTGATCTGGACTCCACTAGGCTAGCAGGTCTGATTAGAAATCATCAGTGAAACCTCTGAGGAAGTGCATTATAAAGCTGAGGTGGATCAGCTGTTGTTCAACATTCTTATGCAAGTTTTTTCTAATGCAATGTTATAAGCTGTAGGTCTCTAAATGACAACTGAAATACTTAGATCTCTTTTTCCATATCAAATATATAGTCAGATGTTGCTTTCTGGTTACAGCTGAGATAAATTATGCAAATATATTGAGTTTATCTGTATGCTGACTCCCAGGTGAATCCGGACTGGGAAAATCTACATTAATAAACAGCCTCTTCTTGACAGACCTCTACCCAGAACGGATAATCCCAGGAGCTGCAGGTAAGCACACTCTTCTAGTTGCTCTGCTCTGACAATTTGGAAGTGAATTGTTATCTTTGGATTTTATTAATAGCCAAGTTATTGTTTCTAGCTGTAGTCATTTGATGTATTTTCTGACAGTTGAACCACCAGATAGAACTGGTTCCCTCAATACCTGGCCTTTATGATTTAGTCCTTGGCTGTGCTGAAGGGTTGTACTGGCACCAACCAGTTAATCTCTTCTTTTGCTCAGTGTGTCATTGCATCACATTAAGATAGATAATCAGCTAAACCAGTCAGAATCTTTTTTTCAGTATTCAATCTATTGTGATTTTGAACATGCACATTTTTAATGTTTCCTTGGGTTTGCAGTTTGATTCATTTGCTCATTTAGTGAATGTGCACTTTCTTTTCAGCCCTTTTTGAATCTGCTAGACAAGGCATGCAATGATCCAGCCAAAGAAAATATCATAAAAAACCAGAGGAAGATGCTGTTTTTCCCTCTTTGCTCCTTGTTAAACAACTTGCTTTAGCAACTTTCCACACTGACTGAAAACCACTTATCACTTTCAACCTTAAGGAGAAAAATCTTATGTATAATTTAGTGTTGCCTTTCAAATTACTGAGTACTTCTATTTTCTCTATCAGGCACTTTTTCCCTCTGTTTCTACAGAGACTTGAGGAAAAGTGTATAAAAAAAAAAATTAGTTTTCTAATCTGCTATTTAATCTTCTGATCTTATCTCAAAATGACCTGCTCTTATAGATTCTATTCTGAAACACCAAACTTCTTATCTTTTAGAGAAGATTGAACGCACTGTGCAGATTGAAGCCTCAACGGTTGAAATAGAAGAAAGGGGTGTGAAACTACGTCTGACAGTTGTAGATACACCTGGATATGGGGATGCTATCAATTGCAGAGATTGGTATGTACACAGAATGTCAGTCAGCACATGTCCACTTTGGGTTTGTATGAAGGGGTGGTGGTGAAAATAACTGCCCAACTCACCCTTTTTTCTTGGGTTAGGTTAAGTACTGAATGTGAGCTGTGATGTTTGGAGTGATGGGCAGGTTTTTAAGTAGATTGTATACTTAGCATTTTTTTATGTTCAGAAAGCATTGGAACCTTTGGGACACAGTGAATTAAAGATAAAGTAGTTTATCTACTCTGGTGCAAATAAAAATTCACCTTTAGATGTTGTCCAAATTCATCATCTGAGGATTGTAAGATTTCGTGGTGTTTTTTTAGTGTATTTTCATCACCTTAGGGTTCTGAAAAACTCTAAAATTTCTAAAAAGTCTGTGTTCTAACAAGTACTGAGAAATAATGAGATGAATGGCATTCAGCCATAACCTCTGCTGCCCACCTTCTGTCAAGAACTTGCATGTCCATTCAGCCATTCTCACTACAGCATTGTACTGCCCTTACTTTCTGTTCTCTGTTCTCCAGTTCTCCCATTAGTAAAGACTTACTTAGGATCTTTGTTTTGCTTATGTTGATTCTCCACCTTAATTGGGAATCAGAACATCTCATGCAAGATAAATGTTTTATTTATTCTTCCATTCAGTGATAAACTGGTATTCCTGTCTGCTTAGCCTATGGTATTGACCATTGGCAAGCATGCAATAGGAGTATAGCTGTTCTCTCAACCTAAACAGATGTGTATGTAAGGTGAAGTGGTTGAGGGAGATGCAAAGCAGAGCAGTAGTGATGCAAGATTCCTGCATTTTTGCATCTGTTGCAGCTCCTGACTGACTTTGCTCTTGCATCAGCATCAACAATTTGATGTTTTAAATCAATTTGGAATAAGAAACTTAGATTGTCTTCAGCATGTGTAATTAATGCTTAGTCACAAGGTGAATACTAACTCAAGACTAATTTGCTTAGAAATTAATGTATTATTATGTGTAATGTATGCATATTTTATCTTAATATATATGTACAATGCATACATATGATGTATTATGCATAGTAGTAACAATTGCTTGTTATTTTGCAGTTCAATTAGAATGCTCAGGTATGCACATAAGATATGGTCTGACAACACCAGTAAATTACTTTTGTTCATCAATCGGTTGGTTTATCAGCAAGTTGTCTTTTTAGTGATCTTTCACAGGTAAATTACTGGCCATTTGGGAGCGAGCACAGTTTAAGTGTCCATTTGCTTTACAGTTTTAAGACCATAATCTCCTACATCGATGAGCAGTTTGAGCGCTACCTGCACGATGAGAGTGGTTTGAACAGAAGGCATATCATAGACAACCGTGTTCATTGCTGCTTCTATTTCATTTCACCGTTTGGTCACGGGTGAGTATTTCTGTCACTTTATTTTTGAAATGATTTTACTGCAGTGAATTGTGCTTGTGCCTGCTGATGTAAATCTTCAGAATCAAATTGTCATTCCTTAAAGTAGGAGTAGAACTGCTGAAACTTGTGTGTTTCTTCTATTAAGTCTTTCTCCTTATGCAGAGAATTAGAATAGTTGGAAGGAACTGATGAAGATCATTAAGTCCAACTGCCTGACCATCTTAGGGCTAACCAAAAGTTAAAGCTTATTAGTGAGGGCATTATCCAGATATACTTCTTGGTCACTAACAGGCATGGTACATCAACCACCTCTCTAGAAAGCCTGTTTCACCACCCCCACAGTAGACATATTTCCTAATGCCTAATATGAATGTGCCCTGGTGCAGCTCTGTGCTGCTCCTACATCCTATCACTGGTGACCGGGATGATGAGATCAACACCTCAGTTTCCCCTCCTGTAAACTGTAGACAGCAATGAGCTTGCTTCTTAGCCTCCTTTATTTCAGGCGAGGCAGTGTGTCCTCAGCCTCTCATAGGACATGCTGTCCAGCCCTTTTGTCAGCTTTGTTGTCCTCCTCTGGTCACTAATATTTGATTAATATATTAACATCCTTTTTACATCACTAAGTCCAGAACTGCACGCAGTATTCAAGGAGAAGTTGCACTGATGCTGAATGTATGTTGACTGGATATGCTGTGTTTGAATTACCTGAAGTGCAGTTCTCTCTCTTGGCCACCTGGACACACTGCCTGCTCATGCTGAGTCTGCTGTCAGCCAGCACCATCAGATCCCTTTCTGCTTAGTTGTTTTCCAGTCACTCATCTCCCAGGCTTGTACCTGTCTGGCATTGCTTCGTCCCAGGTGCAGAACCTGGCATTTTCCTTTGTTGCATTTCATGCAATTACTGATTGTCAAGTGCACCATTGTATTTAGATTGCTCTGCAAAGCCTCTTGTCTCTTTGGACAGTCAACAGCACCTCCCAGTTTAGTAAGGTCAGCAGATTTGATGAATTCAGAAGCAAACTTCTGGATTCAATTCCTGTATCCAGATCATTATTAAAAGTGTTGAATGGAATAGGCCCTAGAACTGAGCCCTGGAGAACTCCCCTAGTGACTGGCTGCCAGTACCCATTCACTGTGACCCTTTGAGCTTGGCCATTCAGCCAGCTCATCACCTAACCTTATGATAAGAGAACAAATTACTAAGGTGGGACCTTCCCTTCATGAACCTATGTTGACTCTGCCTGATAATAGTTCTTAAATGCCTTTCACTAGTGTACAGGGTAATCTTCTCCATAACTTTTCCAGACTGAGGTTAGACTAAGAGGTCTGTAGTTTCCTTGGTCTCCTCTTGTGGCCCATCTTGTAGATGGGTGTAACATCGGCTAGCTTCCAGTCAGCACACACCTTAACAGATTCCCAAGACCTTTGGTAATTGTTGAGAGGGTCCTGATATAACATCCACTGACCCCCCTCTGAGGTGAGTCCTGCCAGACCCTATAGACTTAGGAATTTTCAGCTGATACAACTTTTTGTTAAAATGTCAGTGGCCCCCAGTCATGCTTCTCCACATCAGAGGGCCAGGCAGCCGAGATACATCATTAATAATAAAAACTTATCACTGGTCTCATTTATGTTGATAGTTTATGTGAAAAGTAAATTAAACTTTTCCCTTATTTTTAGTCTTAAGCCTTTGGATGTTGAATTTATGAAGGCAATACACAACAAAGTAAACATTGTACCAGTAATTGCAAAAGCTGACACACTTTCCCTGAAGGAGCGAGAAAGACTAAAGAAAAGGGTAAGTATTTTTCTAGCTTGCAGGAAAAATGTTGTATTTTGGCTGTAGCAGTGCAGTCACTCTCAAGGTGAGTCTCTTTCAACCTTATTTTGTCCTCTACAAGAAAAATATAATCTCACATGCAATCTGTAACTTTATTTAATACATATTTTTATATCTTAAGTTCTTAACATTGTTTATTTAACTGAGAACTCACCCTTAAAATGTTGCTGGTGAAATGGCAGATTGGCTATGCATACAATTACACTGAGTCAATTTTGAAACTTAAACATGTTTGGTAGTGGTAATTGCTCCCTCACCTGTTTGATCAGCTCCAAGGCAGAGACAAAGCATCTCTAATCTGCGGAAACTTAACTTTGTTCTCAAGTAAAACTAGAATATAGTAGCCTTCCCTAAGCAAGGAAGGCTGTGCTTTGCTTTTGTCAATTACAGTTAATGTGAAACTGAATAAATTGGAAGGGCAAATTGTTTGCATTGTTTCTATAGCTTTGTTTAAAATTAGGTTTCGTGGCTTGTAATGCATGATGTAATTCTAGCTATAATACGAAATGCTGTAAGGCTCAATTGCAGGTCACTGACGAAAGTCAGTGCTACTGGGTAATTCTCTTAGAGGTACTAATTTTTTGTAATAGAAGCTGACTTAATTGCAAATACAATTTTTAACTAGTGGAAATTTTGGTAGGTTAAGATAAAGCAGTAGGGAGGAAATGTACCACTGTTTGTCTGAAAGTGTGGGAAGCAGTCGTTGAATGTCATGAAGAAATGTTCTTTACAGACACATAGTTGGCAAGTAATTTAAATTAGTAAGGTATACACAATCTCTTGGACTTGGGCCTAGCTTATCAGTTTACCCGGTGTTTTAAAAGTGCTCACTTTGTGTACTTTATCTCAATTTCTTATATAAAAATCTCAGATCCTGGATGAAATTGAAGAGCATGGCATCAAGATTTATCACCTGCCCGATGCTGAATCTGATGAGGATGAAGATTTTAAAGAGCAGACCAGACTTCTGAAGGTATGAGTGTACTATATCTTTTCAGAATGCTCAGGTGGCATTTAATCAAAACACATAAGTGACCTTTGAGACCTTGAGTGAGTCACTATGGTTCTGTGCTTAGGCTTCTCTATTGGGAAGATGGTGATGATAATGATTTTTTTTTCCTGTAAGATTTATTTTTTACAGCTTCAAATTAAAAGCATTACAAATTTACTACCATAATATGCAGTCCTGAGTAGAACAAGAGTTGTTCTTGTGTTGTTTGTCCTAGTTCATTGTTAGTAGTTTTTTCTAATTTTGTGTTTTCAGGCCAGCATTCCATTTTGTGTAGTGGGATCCAATCAACTCATTGAAGCCAAAGGTAAAAAGGTTCGAGGTCGGCTGTACCCATGGGGTGTCGTTGAAGTGGAGAATCCAGAACATAATGATTTCCTCAAATTGAGGACCATGTTAATGTAAGTTTAAAAGTTCCAATTAAATAATAGCTTAACTAAAAAAAAATAGTAAGGGAGATGCTCAGACATTGGAGTGGGGGTTTGGGGAGGTTATGGAATCCTTAAATGTGTGGAATTTGTCTGGAGGAGGCTGTGAGCAGATATAATCTAGTTGGCCAGGGTAGGGATTGGTCCCAGCACCCTCCACAGAGCCTTTTCAATATGGATTACTTAATTTTCTGTGAAAATCTTGCATCTAATTCTTCTGTTGAACACACATGCCCAAGAATGTAAAGCAGGTTGCTTTTCACCTTGTGCTTGTTGAAAGTTATCTATTTCTAAGGTATCTGTCTATATAAAGATATCTGCAAAGTATTAGACATCAGAAGTCTGCTTGTTAGCATCACAGAAAGACCTGGGTTGAAAAGGACCACAATGCTCATCTACTTCCAAACTCCTGCTATGTGCAGGGTCACCAACCAGCAGACCAGGCTGCCCAGAGCCACATCCAGCCTGGCCTTGAATGCCTCCAGGGGTGGGGGATCCACAACCTCCTTGGGCAACCTGTTCCAGTTAAGGTTTTTCTGGCTTTGTTACTCTACTTTCCCTGCCCAGCACCTTGTGTCACTTGAGGAGATAGCTTATGTATGGGCTGCCTCAGAGTCTGGGGTGTGCTGTCTGTTTGTCTCTTATAGCACTGATTTAACATAAATCAGCTCTGAAATTATTATATGAAACCATATGCTGAACGCACTGACCCAATGTGGTGCTGAATGTGAGAGCTGCTTAACCAAGCTGATGTAACACTGATATGTTTTACCTTTTCATTTTTTTCATTCCTCTAGCACCCATATGCAAGATCTTCAGGAGGTGACCCAAGATCTTCACTATGAGAACTTCCGTTCTGAACGGCTCAAACGAGGCGGCAGGTTGTCATCTTACTGCTATGAGCTGTGTCTTCCTCTGAATTCATTTCTTGGTCTTTTCTCTCTCCCCCCAAGATTTAACTACAGCTCTCTAGGGGCAGTTAACAAGAAGCTCAATCAATCAGTTTACATTCACTGTAAGAAAAAGTATGATGCAAATTTGAGTCAGTTGTGACTTTAAAAGAAGCACAATTAAATCTCTGCTTTAAGGTTTGAACACAGTTTGATTGGTGTATTCAAAGTAAATAGGGAAAATGTATGATAAATACCTTCTAAAAACATGTAAGTTAGATAAGTGCTGATACAGTAAAATGAGTCGTTTCTTTGACTTGCATGTTTGGACTTTAAGAAAGTAGCTTTAAGAAAGTCAAGTCCTGTAGTACTTTATTTAATGTAATTAAATAGGATAATGTCTTTCAGTCCTGTTTTGGGCTGTGGTAAAAGAGGCAGGTAGAACACCCTGTTTTTAAATAAAATAGCAGAGTCTCTGAAGTTGAGTTTGTGAGTTCTTTATGAAGACTGAGTGCTTCCTAACTTAGATTATGTTGCTTCTCTTATTTCAACCACTAGAGGGTTTCATAATTGCACGTGCCAGTGGGTTTGATATATTTTGCAAAGTTTTTTCCTTCTGCTGTTGCAATAGATTTTGTCACATGCCTGGTCTGGTTTCAGAAATAGGAGTTTTTGTTTGATTTGCACTTTTGGTAGTGCTTTTGCTGATTAAGAGGTCTGTAAGCGGATCTTCCACATTGCAGTGTGGGACAAGAAAAATATACTTGCAAAGTGGTACAAAATCTTGAAAACATAATACGTGCAAATAGTCTTATGCTCAGTTTTCCAGTGTAAAATTGGAATGCTCTCATTGAGCAGTAGTTTCCTTAGATACAGATGGAAGGTATTAACTTTGACAGGAGCAATCGATGTTTGTGCCATACTTCTATATGTTACACCCAAGGAATCTTTGGAATTGGGGAAAAGAAAAAGTGATTATACTATAAAAATAATCAAGCTTCAAACTCTTAAGTAGGAGAAGAGGATAAAGGATGGGAGGATGGCAGATATGTAAGTGGTTTGCTGCTTTTGTGCTTTTGGTTATAAGTAACTTAGAGATGTGTGCAAATGTATCCTAGCAAGTTTACTCAAAGATAAGTGTACTTTAAGTACAGTGCTGTACTGAAAACAGGATGAGGGTCTGCTATCTTCTTGGTTTCAGCTTTTTATTTACTAAAAGCTTTAAGGGTATGAAGCATAGTTTGATATGTGCCTTCTAGATGTTTGGTAGCAGATGTTAGATGATGTTAGAGATGAAAGAGAACTGTTGAAAAGAAGGTTCCACCTGGGGGTAACAAGGTTTCAAAGTTCCTAGATATTAACAAAAATATGGAAGTAACATGTAAAATATCTTGTCCAGGGTTATCTTGAACTTGTTTTGATTTAGTTGTATTGCACCAATGGAAAAGAATTGAGCACAGTGTACTCAGACTTCTGAATTGTGTGGTATTCCAATTGTAGTCAGCTAAGTTAACACTATGCTCAGACAAACTGCTCTACTTGACTAATGTACAGAAATAGCTTTCACTGATGCCTACAAACATGTTATTGAACAATATTTTTCTATCTTAGGAAAATAGAAGATGAAGAAGTGAATAAAGACCAGATTCTGCTTGAAAAGGAAGCTGAAGTAAGATGAAAATCTCTATTATTTGGATGGGGGAAGTTTTATCTTTGTTTTGCTCTCTTGGGATAGGTGATTATATGATCTTGATAATTTGTGATGGGAAAGATGGAATTTCTAATATAAAACTATGCAAGGTAAAGTAAAAACAGAATATGGAGAGAGATGGGGTTCTCAGAATACTGATTTATTGGAACAAGTGCAATGTCAGATTTCATTGTACTGGTCAATAATGGATGTTCTGCATGTTGTGTGGGAAGGGAGAGCCATCCTTGAATATGAGGAAAGGTTCTAAACTTAGCAGTTGCAAATTGGGGGGGAAGTCAGTTCAACTCTACAACAAAGGAGAAAACAGTAGTAGGAATTATCAGGAATAAGGGACTGTGGAAATTCTCCTTGTTCTGTCACTGATAAATCCATAATTTATAGCTCTAGTTGTTTTACAAACAAATGTAAAAGCTTTAGTAAGTGGGTTTAGCATTTGAACAGCACCATTCTTATTTAACTTTGGGATAAGAAAACTATTCAGTTTAGGGATGCTTAAAAGCCCCAGGTTACAATAAGAAAGCTTATTGATTTCAGTCAGCAAATTTCCAGCCTCTTACTAGTTGGAATATGAGTGGTAGACAAACAGTCCATAACCTAAGATTGCAACTTGTCAATAGCCAATGCAGATGTGCATTCCATCTTAATGATTAACAGCGTGGTGGCGGCGGAGGATCTCATTCTGAGGTGAGATAAGGCTGAAGGGTTCTCTTATGCTATGTTTCCAGCTTCGTCGCATGCAGGAGATGATTGCGAGAATGCAGGCACAGATGCAGATGCAAATGCAAGGTGGAGAAGGGGAAAGCAGTGCAGTTCAAGGACACAATGTATAAAGCTTTTGGTAAGATGTTCAAATAGCCATTTAAAGAGATTTTTTTTAGCTATGGGTAGTACTAAGAAGCTTTGGAAAAATGCTTACAAGATGGGTTTGCATAGGTTTCACTATTCATTTTCATTTTTATAATTTAGCTGGTGCTTGAAGGGACCTGAACCTAAACTACACAGTAGTGTGATTTTTATAAACGTGTGTATGTATGTGTGTGTATATTTTTTTTTTTCCAGAAATACCACACAAGTCAAGAATCATGGAAGCAGTATCTCAGATTGTATAAGCAGGTGGCTCTAAAACTCATGGTGATCTCATTTGTTTCATTGTGAATAGGAAAACGGCTACTTTTGTTTTTTTAAGTGTATGAAGATAGCAGATATTAAAATGTACATTTTTGCCTTGTTTGCAGATCACGTTATACCCTGGCTTAAAGGAGTCATTCTGGAGTTGAATTGTGGTGGCATTATGCCAGAAGGAATGCCTTGTGTTCAACATGTGACTTGGAGATTATTTTGGAGTTTAGCATGGAAATGCATTGTGGTAACTCTTGTGATATGTATTTCATAACACATAGTCAGTATTTTATATATTATACACCTTTGACATTGTTTTTGCTTAGTAGTTCTTATATTAAGCTTATCTTCAGTTTCCCATTGTAATAGGGATACAAAATAGTCATCAAAACTTTTCTTGCCTGACATGGTGTTAGATGACTTTCTTTAATATTAACTCCCTGTTTTTAATTTTGTGTTATGTTTAAGATTAAGCAGCTGTTAGTGGTATCCTGTTCAGTAGTGTCTAATAGTCACTAATTAGGGAGCCCTGCAAGGTTAGTTTTAAATTTCTGCAGTGTTTTCAGGTGTGTGTCTGTGAGACCTTAGCCCTTCCTCTGTCTCTGCTCAGTGCAGATTTCCTTGGTCTCTGCAAGTATCTAATTACACTCCAGGCATGCCTTGTGTTCTTAATGAAAGAACTAAAAGGCAGCACTTCTTTAAGGGCACACTCCATTTTATATGGCAGGCGTTGTGTCCTTCAGATTTAACCCTGAAGGATAGATATTCTTTTATTGTTTGCCTAAAATCTCTTCTATATTGCAGATAATTTTTAAGAGTTTCCTGTAGGTCAGCACGAATCAGTCCTGCTGTTTTCTGGCATTGCTGTAGCCACATAAGATTAAATATTGATATATTAAATGAGATAAGCCCCAAAGAGTATTCTGAGTTTTCTATGCATGGGTGTTTCCATATCCAAATACTTATGAATTCTGTAATTACTGAAGAGTATTTTCATACTATTTTTTGGGCATTGCAAACTGTCAATTGTAATATAAAACATACTACACACAACTGCACAATTCTTTCTTCAAAGTGATCTGTGCCTGACAGGATCAGTGCAAACTGTATTTTAAGGTTCTGCTCCAAGATGGAGTAAACAGTATTACTTCTGAGGTGGCTCCAATATGCTATGCTTTTCTTTAATTGCTATTTTTAAAGGCCAAAATCACTTTCCTTAACGCTGTCAGGAAAGGGAACTGTTTTTGAGCTTGGCTGCATATCATGGCAGGTATTGTTTGCAGTCCATAGTAACAGTTGTAGCAGCTGCACATGTGGTGGCTGATAAAGATAAGCAGCCGTGTGCTGTGCTTGGCTTCTTGAGTACTTCTGATAAAGCCACCAATCAGGTTTACTAATGTGAACAGTTGTTATCTGAGCAGCTAACAAGTAAATAAAACTCCAGCTTTTTCTCTTCTGAGCTCAGGTGTAGCAATGATTTTTATAGTTTTTAAACTTTTCTTTGGAAAAAAAGTGGTAAGATTTTTACAGCTACTGTATAATTTCAGTGGTACTTAAATAGCAGACTGATATTTAATCTAGCCAAGCAGCTGAAATTTCTGCCTGCCTGAAACTGCTGTTTATGAATTGTTTTATATTTGAATCTTTCTAAAAATGTGAAAAAATGTGTAAAATCTTCCATCATTGCCTTTTCTAGGGAGCTCCAGTTTGCTTTGCAAAAGTAATTATTCTCAATTTTCCATGACTCATGCAGTCTTCACCTCTGAAGTGAAAATGATAACCTTTTATATATTTAGATGCACAGAAGCACAAAGTCCCATTTTTGTCAAATAAGTTTGTATAGAACTTGAATGGAAAAGCACACACTCCTAAGTTCTTGTCTGGCCTTTTCTAAACAGCATGCAGAAATGAGGTGGCACCTTACTTGTGTTGCCAGAAACAACAAAAAACAATCCACAGCACCTTATTTCTGAATCTTTTGCTATGTTTTTGTGAATCAGTTGTCAGGCTGAAGGGGGCTCTGAGCAACATATCTAGCTGTAGAAATCCCTGTTCTTTGCAGGGCACGTGGTCTGATGGTCCTTAAAGGTCCCTTCCAGCTTGAATTATTCTATGACTCTTCATATTCCAGAAGAACTTATGCACTTCTATCACTAAATAGTTTGTGAACTCCCATCCTGTTCTTCAATTGCCACAAATGTGCTTTGTTCTGATTCTGCAGCATTTGCCTAATTTTAAGCTATCAGTCTAGTATCTCTGTTAAATGCTCTGAGCAAAATATGCTTCAGGTACTGTCCACTTTGCCAAGGAGAGCAAACTCTGTGAAGTTGCTGTTTTCACATATAAGCTTAGTAGGGTAAGATAATCTGCAATAGCAATATGAACCAGTACTTGAACTGTGAAACCTCAAGTGTATCCAAACCAGACCCTGGTTATACATGTAATTGTGTGTGTATGTGTGTTGGTTTTATTTTGCCTTTGTTTTTTTATCATGGGAACAGATTGTCTGTGCTTTTAGTGCTGTTTGGTCACTACCTGTGGAATTACTTCAGGCTATGTCTTATTCTTTGAAATAACACGTATCTATTGAGATATTTCATCAGGATAAAGCATTGTGGATGATTCTTAGGCAATAAATATTTTCATGTATATTTTCTTCATTGGAAAAATCAAGTTTATGGTATTTGTAATTAGCTGTCTTTCAGTTAAAATGGCTTCCCAAGTCTCTGGGGGTGATCTGATCTGGCAGTGTGCCTGATGTCACAGAAGGTCTCTTTCTCCTTCACGTTTCTTGTGATGGCCTTGCAGTCAGGGGATGTGTGGTGAGACATAAGTGAGACCACCATCCTCAGACTGAAGTTTGTCCAAAAAAAAAAAAAATTGTTCAGCTACTGTAGAAAATTTCGGGGACAAAAGGTTGATATTTGTTTGGCTCAACTGGCCACAATTTGTTTTCTGGTACTGCATTGTTGGAGTTCCTATTTTAGGAGTGAAAGTACTTTTGAATTTGCAGAGCTTTATATTTGGTAGCAAAATGACTTGCTCTTGGTACAGAAGTCTTATTGTTATATTCTGTTGTATGTACTGTCATTAGCCAAGGCTATAATAAAAATGCTAAAATAAAAAATAATTTTTCCTCTGGTTTGATTCCTTGTTATAATCAACCCTGGCAATGTTTGTGGTGATGTGTTTTAATTATAAAGGAGTCATTCAGACATGGTGTAAAGAGAACACAGTGGTGAACCTGCATTCCTTCTGACCATTAAATGTTGTGTACATTCAAAGTTCATTGGTACAGTGCATTTCCCAGTGGGTGTTCCCAGAGCTGCCAAAGCTCTAGCTATGGGACTTTGCTTCTTCAGCAGCTCTCACCAAATGTGTCCCTTAGTTATTAAGTTAACATATTATTTGTAGGTGTTGTTTTAAGTGCAAGGGTTGTTGTATTCCCCAGTGAATTCATGCTTAATTTTTAGAGATGGTCAAAGGCTGTTTGAACTCTATATTAGAAGTGTCATGATAATTGAGGGCTCAACTTCCTGTGAAACAACTTCAGCCACCCTTATGGCTGTTACGGGTTAAGAGCACCAGGCAGCATCCTTGTTTTCAGATTTCTGAGCAACTTAATATCAGAGACTTTTATACTCAATCAATCTAAAGTGTGTCACTTTTGTACATGCCCTGATCATACAGCTCACTTCAAATTGGTGTCTTGGATTGCTTTGTGTTGCTGGGAAGTGCATGTTATGCTGTGAGACCACAACACAATAAGACTGATGGGTGTTGTGATCTGCAGAATTCAAATCCAATTCTGGGAAGAAGCACTGAAAAGAATTACACTAAGAGTTGCACAGTGAAAATCTGAAAAACATAAGTCTCCTGGATGTGTTTTGTGCATGTGAAGAAAAGGATCATTTTGGATGAGGACTTAAATAAAAAGGCAAAACTGACTTGTAGAACACCTCATAAAGCTAGGCAAACACAGCAGCTTTGGATTTAGTGAAAGGACTGGGGTTTCCGAAGATATGGATGACAGTATTGTGGTCTAAGTATTAAAATCACAACCTGCTAGATACATCTACTAACTATCCACCTCCAAGTCCTTAGTGCATTGGTTTACTGTTGACAGTGCTAGGAAGAATGTTACACTAATCCATTTTTGTAGGCAATATTGCTAACTTCTGTACTTAAGTGCTGAAGCAAGTTTTATTTTAAACTGGCTTTATAAAGCACAGCTCTTGTGTTATTTTGAAGGAATTGCAGTGTTGTTAGCATATGACAATGCAGATAAATTGACACATTTATGTGCAGTAGAATAATGCAGCTGAAGATATTTGGATGCAGATTTTGTGTGCGAACTATCCACTTCCTCTTGCTTATATGTATCTTTCCCTTTTCTTTTTAAGCTCTTTTGTCTGAATAGTTTCTTTCCCGTTTATCCCTGCACTTCTAAGAATACTTCTTTGCCAGTCCTTTTTGCTCCTCCTATCCTATGAAATACTTGAGGTTTTTTTCCTCCTGATCATCTCCATATTCATTGTGGTCCTTTTCAACCCAAGCCATTTTATGATTCTATAGAGAAGTGTTTTTCTCTTATGTGTTTAAATAGCTGCCATATTTCTGATTCTTCCCTTTGGTATCCTGCAGAGTTCCAGCATCTTTCTCTTCATCCAAACCATTGGAGCAGTGTTCTTGTAGGTTCCACTTGTCCCAATTAGAATGACAGTGGCTTGCCTGCAGCAGTGCCCTATCTCTGAATGCTGGACCAGGGTAGGTGGAGTTTAGTCCCTGGCCACTTTGGCTCCTCAACAGGGAATAAGTTAATTTAGAACCTCCTGTACATGTTTTGGGTGTTTCTGAATATTAGGATGGCTGTGCTGGAGATGAAATTCACACTACTGCTGCTAGGATTGCTTCTAGGCTTTTCATTTAGTTGATGTGTGTGGATGTATTAGTCACCCCTCTCTCCTCTTCATAAATCTCTAATCACCTCAGAGAAAGGTGACTGAAAACAAAGCTGTCTTGTGAGGCTAGAAAAGTGTTTGGCATTTCATTAACAAATTGTACCCAAAAGGAGAAATATTTGGTGTCTCTTAAATGCACTCATACAGTGCAGCAATATCAACAGCTGCAAAGGGCTGCAGTTTTTTGATTGTCTTCTACCAAAGCTGGCTAAGAGTAGCATATCACCTCAAGATACCTCTGAAGGAAATAAAGCTCAGACCTGTGGATTTTAACTTTGAACTTGAGTCTTCTGTTTATATATCTGAGCAGTCTGAATGAGCACAGAGAAGTTTCCTGTCTTCAAGCAACTGTCTTGAGTGAGAGAGGCTTGTTTTTATGTGGTTGGCCAGATAGGTATCGCGTGGCTCTTGCTTTTGGAGTGTCTGGCATGGAAGTGGCTGAGCATGCTTTGTGTCTCCATTTCATTGGCTACTCTGTGTGCTCTTGCTGTTTTATCTCGCTTCTGTGCCTCGAAGCAGAAGTTGTATTGGGATTTTGCCAGCCTCTTTCGCAGATTTAGTGATTAAATAAAGGGAACAAAATATCTGCAAACGTCGATTTTTCCTTTGTATAAAGGCAGAAGTAAAACATCACCGTTTCTGCCTTTCTCTAGGTACTTAATGGTAGATCCTGAAATGCTGCATGCTATATGGAAGTGAGACCTACTATGGCTGTTAATTAGTGACAGAGTGGTGCTATTGCCTGCTTGTGTTCTTTTGATGAGAAGATAGGAATGGTGCAAAAATCAGCCTGTTCACACTAACTAGGTGAGTGCGTGTGCTGTGAGGTCAGCTTGGTGCAGTTCTGGGTTAAGCCCAGGGAGAGTGTGAAGAGGAAGAAAAGGTTTGTCTAAGGACTGGTTTGATGGCCAGAGTTTGTTTGTTGACAGAGTGGTCTGGAGGCAATAGGATGTGTGGGTTTGGCTCCTAGCTGACAGGTGTGTCGGAGTTTCAGGTGTGTCAGGGAGTTTCTACTGTGTTTAGCAAGGCAAGATCTTCTGATGTAGCTGTAAGTTTGCAGGTTTCGTTTCAGTACTTGAAATGCAAAATGGAGCTCATTTCCACCCACAGGAATGAGTTCCTGTAAGCCTGGCAAGACGCAAGAGGTGTCCAGCTATCTCTGACAGAGAACAGCATGCTTCTCAGAAACTACCTCTGGCTAGAGAGGAGGCAGTCCTGCACACAATTGCAAGAAACAAGTACCACAAGGCAAGAAGAGCTGTGCTTTGGTTGCTGTGGGAAAGACAGACTTCCTTGGGAGGAAAAAAATGAGCAGAGCTACTTATACTGCTAAGCCTGGTGCTAAATATTGCTCGCTTTGATTGAAACTCAATGTAAATGGTTTTGTTGGACTGATGCAGATAATTGTGCTCTGCTCTCAGCCCTCCTGGGATCCTCAGTTTTTTGTGCATCTTCTGTGGTGGTGCCATGTCAGATTTAAAGTATAGCTGCATCATAAGAGGGGTTCAAGCTGCCAGGTAGAAATTTCTGCTCAATCATAGAAGTCACGTGGAAGGAGGCAGTTGCAAAAGGTCAAGATACCTGAATTAAAAGACATGCCAGCTATTAGCAGCTTAGTGTGTTAAGCTGTCTTTACTTAAGCTGGCTGTTCTCCTGTTTTTTATTCACAAATGAATTGAGGCTGGTGGGACAAAAAGAAGGAATCGCCTCATTTTTAGAAGCAGAAACCAAAAATTCCTGGGAAAATTCCCAGCTAGGAAGCAGAGGAGGTCCAATGTTGTGTGAAGATAACTCAGTGTAGTCTGTAAAATGAGTAAATAAACACACCCTGAGAGCTAACGCAAAACACTTACTAAAACAGGTACTGTACTCCTTCAACATGGTATTAAAAGAAGGAAAAGCCTTGACAGTAAAATGCTTTGTCCAGAACATGCCCACTCCTGCTCTTTGTAATTTGCAATTCCAGTGTTGTTTTGATGTTTTTGACTCACTTTTAAGAAACTTTTCCATATGCAGAGCCCAAAATCCAGGTCAAACTCTTCCTGTAGTAGTGATCTTCTCAAAGCCCAGGGTTTTTCCTTCAGAACGTGCAGTGTGGGTCTGCAGTGGCACCTGGGTGAAGCAGTTACCTTGCTGACTTTTGCTTTTATTTGGATAGTTTACGTTCAGAGCAAGAAAAGTGCTTTTAATCTTCTATGCCCAGCAAACAGACTGCTTGCTCCATTGCTTTGAAATACAGAAAAGCAGAATGGCAAGGATTGCAGGCTGTGTAGAACAGCTGCATGCAGCCACATTTGGTTTCATGCATTACTAGGAAGCTGCAGTCCCTGTTCCCTGGCCCAAATAACTGGAGCAGTTTGTTTGGCTTTGGGCACAGACTGGGAAATCCAGCAGTCTTCTATCTAGATAGAAGTCTACCAGTTTGGTTTTGAAAGTATGTTACAATAGCAGACCTTAGCATCACCAAGGCTCTTAAGCCAGGTTTATTTGACAGTGAAATAATTGCCAGACTTCCTAGGGGATTAATATGTATTGTTCCTTGATTTTTCTTTTTGTTCTGAAGCAGCCAGTCTACCAGGTAGGACTGGGGCTTTTTCTCTTCTCTGCCTAAAATACTTTGTGCTTTTGAAACTGATGTCTGTATGGCTGTGCTTTCATGCAGTCGTACTGTCTGAAGGCTTTGGTGTTTAACAGATGTGAAAAAGAGACGTGATCTCTCTCTTGTTAGAATTTCATATTTTGGGAGAATTATGGCTTCTGGTTGATGGTGTCATGTTTTTCCCCCTGAACACTTTTGGATGTTAATCTTCACAGCCAGGTACAAGTTGTGACTGGACTGAACCTTGAGCAGCTGCTCTAAGGTAACAAATGCTACAGATGCTGGCCTGATTTGAGGGACAGGGAGAGAAGATGAACTTCAGGGAAAGGGAGGAGGGGAAAGGGATTTCTCTGTTTTGTTTTGTTGGTTGCTTTTTAAGTTATTTTTCTTAAGGCCTTACTGTTTCATACATGCAAGCTGAGATTACCCAAGTAAGTTTTAAGTGAAAAAGAGAAGTAAATTGTGTTCTTGTGGAAAAGATGGTTTCACTGACCTGTCAGCTTAACATTTAGGCTGCTACAATCAAAGAATTAACGTTAATTGAAATGCTGAGGACAGCTTGAAGCA